TACCAGGAAAGGGAGAATAATTTAAAGGAAAGGACAACACTATCACAAGAAGAAACTCAGTAAACTGGCCAACAGTAATTATAGGTAAGAAATCTTAAGTTTCTATGGCAACCCATGAGTAAAGAATACTGAAGGCAAAAAGGTGTTAGTTTTAATATAATGTTTGACATGAGTATGACAGATTGTTCATGATTGTCATAGCAAGGAACTGGACTCATTGGCTTCCTCTTTGTTATGAATATACCAGTGCCAGTCTTTGGTTTTGCAGCAGGCAGGTGTGTCTTGGTACACTCTCTTCATCTTCTGGGTCAGGGTGCTGGTAGAATGTGGTATAGACATCCCTACTGAAAAACTGATGACACTGAGATTTTTGCCACTATTGTTCCTATTTCTAAAATGCAAATAAATTCTGCTTTATCTGTATATTTGGAAAAGCTAGGAAACATGGGAAAAAAGTGTTCTGTTTCTACAACAGAAAATTAAATTTTGTAGTTTACTATTAGGTCCTACTACCAGGTGAAAAATCCTACAAATAGCTGGACAATATGAAGAAAAATGGCCCTTTCTATTTGCTCTGTTGTTATTCTGTCTTTGTGCATGTGCTATTAACTACTTTTGGATAGAGAGTAGTAGATTAGACACTGTAGGAGAACATTACTAGTTCTTACAGAAGGACAGGGAGAACACAGGGGTTGCAGTCTTACGGATTTTGTATATTACATGCAAACAAATTTAAGGATCTCTTCTGTGTTATCATAAAATAATCTTTTTAGGTTTTTAGAGCTTATTGGAGGGAAGTAAGTTACGGGAGAGAATATGGGAGACCAGGCTAAAGACAATGAAATCACATTGAATGCAATCCAGTACTTTTTCCTTTCTAACCATTTAATTATGTAGCTGGTACAGTGAGATGATCCAAGTGGCAAAAGAACAATCAAAACTTTTCTGCAAATGACAGTAGTAAAATGAAGCAACAGTTTCTTAGCAACAAATTACAAAATATGCTAAATAATATTTTTTCCTGCTGAGGTTTGTGTACGCTACATTCCAAGCATTGTTCTGAAGTAGACTAATATTTTTGTGCATGTTTCTTTTATATTAATCTTCTTACAGGTTTGCCTCAACATGGAGTTTTTCTGAAGAACCACTGTTCATGGAGACATTCTTACCTGGAGTACAAAAGGAATTAAAAATAAAAATCTTGTTTGGTAAGGCTAAGGCATTAAATGGAACGTTAAAACCGCCTTTTTTTTTAAGGGTTTGGTGAACTGTAAAAACCAGTTCCAGTCAGAGGTTGCTCATTTGGAGATGGTGAGCAACAGTTGTTACAGCTCTGGCTGTCTCTCGGTAGTGGTGAACACACTGAACTGAACTTCTACACAGTTCAGGTGCTCACAGTCTGGAGCAGAACTGTGATTACACAGTGCATAATCTTCACAGTGTACGTTATGAAATAGTATTTATTTTTCTGTGGATTATTAAATGAAAGAAAATGGGAAATGAAGAATGAAATGTTTAATTTAATTCTGATGTTTACGGTAATTCTTCAGTTGTCTAAATTAAAACAAACAAAACAAAACCCCAATCAATTACTTTCAAGTATTTCAACATATTGCTTAGCCCCCCAACATAATTTAAAAATATTTTGCTGATTTTTTCCTCCTTTTTTAGTTTGGCCATTGCATAAGAAATTCTGGCTTTTAATCGGGAATGGACACATTTTGCCTGAAAGCATTTCTTGGCATGTCCTTCTGTATCCCCCAAATCGGTAACTTCATATTTCAGCTGATTCAGGCATGACAATATATGCTGAGACTTCACAAATTTTCCATTTCTCTGAATAATTTGATTTACAGGGTAATTCTTTGGGTATATGTAACAGGTAAAGTATGGAACACAACTGTTTCCAAGCAGTTTCCAGAAGGCAGACAGCTAACTGCTGGGCAGCAAAGGAGATTGGCATCTCTGTCCAACATGTCAAATCCTTTCACCCAAGAATACTTCGGTTGAGCCAGTGTACCTAAAGAATTCTTCAGGTACAAAGTCCTTCCATCTGTTTTGGTTGTTTTTTTTTTTTTATCTTCACCTGTATTGCATTTAGAGTTCGTTGCTTTGGAAGGCCTGAATAACACTCTCTCTTCTCTTCTTCTACTAGTAAAGGGTGCTATTTTCCCAGGTTCTCTGTGGTTGTCTCCATTAAGGAAGGAATATTTGAAATTAGTATTGGTATTGGCTTTGCAAGCTTACACAGCTCCTGTGTTAAAGTGAAGGTTTCAATTCACTCTGGATTTCACAAAAGCAGCATGAAATAGCTCTTCATTCTACTACAGTAGCTATGACAAGGTTAGAATGAAGCTGAGAGTAGAGCTTTATTTGAGAGAAGAGAGGAGTGAAAAGGGGAGGAGCTGAAAGCAGCAGCAGTTGGAGGGGAAGTCATAGGTAACTTTAATCATAGATGAGAATGAGAGACTCCTTGCCTGCAGATTTACTATCAGAGGGGATTAATTTTTATATATGTGATTCTGGAACAAAATATGCAATGTGTTTTTGTTCTTCAAATGTGTGGGTCAAGAGGAGATTTGTTTATATTTAATCTAATTCCTCTTGTGATCTTTATTCTAGTCCAGTATTCAATTTACAGAAAAAAAAATCTTATTTTTATTCTGCTTTTAATGTTTACAGAATATGTAGATCTCTTTGACGTATCTGCTAATTTTAAAACTAATGTAGTCATGCCTGCACAGTGTTTCCTGGACTGAGTTAGAAGAACAGGAAAGGTTTTTAAAGGAGCTGTTTAAATATTTATAAGAAACTCTCTTCCTTAGTGGCTTACAAAATTTATGTAAAATATAACATCATAAATCAGCCTAATTGTATATCTAAACTCTGTGTTCTTCATTTTTTAATACCGAGTTATGAAATTCCTGGTTTGAAAACTGCACTGAGTTCCTAATTCAAGGCACACATAAAGTCGCATAAGATCTCTAAGATTCATGAGAACTACTTGCAAGGTGAAGTAACCACAGATTGGCTGTGAAAGAACTTGCAAAAGGATTTTCCTAACTAATTGCAATTTGGATTTCAGTATGTTTTCCTAATACTTATCATTGGCAGAAGCCTGCATGTCAGGATTCTGAGTTTGACAAAAGAAAATTTTATAAAACTCTTTTTATTTCCCCTCGTGGAGCTCGTTACTTAACTACTCTGAGACAACTTAAGTTCAGTTCTAACTATTGTACTTGCTGTCTGATGATGTTCCCTGATTAAAAAGATAATGCAAAGCAGATGTTCAAAGTACTGTTTCTCATTTTAATTTTTTGTCATGCCTGGAAAACTCCAAATGGTTTTGGTTTTCTCTTACATAATACTTTGATTATATATATATTTTTTGGATTAGACTTTCTGTTGTACATTTGCAATTAATGGAGAAGCTCTAATTTTTTACTGTTTTACTTGTTTAATTGAGCACAGGATTTGGCCTAATTGGTAGGCAGAGAAATAACACACAGGGGACCATGTTTATTTTTTGCTAGATGAAAGCTGAGGTCTTTACCAATCATAGAATAAAAGTTACTAAAATTCTGGGTAATACACTACATAGTAGTATCTAATCCTTACAATGTTTGGAATTACTTTTATACTTTATCAACAAAACTTATTGGGTCATGGGCATTTCACAGTAATAGTAAAACATTGCACTCACTCAAGCCCTTGTGAAATATTTACAGGAATTTTAACTCCTGTGTGTGATTTGCTAAGTTGTGTTCCATATAATTACTGCAAATACCACTGTCTAGAAGCCTGGTGAATAACTTAGCTCAGTAAATGCTGAGTCCAACTGTGTGTAATGATTTTTGTCCTGCATGAATTTTGCATCACTGACCCACCCCAGCAGCACCCACGTTTTTAAAAAAGATTTCATCCTCCATGCTTATTTTTCCGTGAAAGAGTGGTAAAAATGGTTTACCATTATTGTGAAAAAAATTCTCTTGTACCCCCAGTGCACTCCAAATTTGTGAATAAGCATGGTAAATCCTACAGCATCCAAGGCCTAACTGCATGTATCAGAAGACTATCCATATGGAAATCTGTGTTGCTGTGTGAGTGGTGTGTAATCTGGGTCTGGAATGTAAAAGGTGAAGATTAAGAATTTATGAAGAGTGCAAGTGACGTTTTCGGTGTAGATTCATAGTTTACTGCTGTGGAAGATTTTTTTTTTTTTTTTTTTTTTAAGATTAATATAAAAGCAATCATTGGAGGAGGAACCTGCTTTGGACTTTTCTTTAAAATCAGCTCATCTAGAGGTTTGTCCGGTGTAGTTCTGCTTTGACAGAGCTATGAGAGCGGGGCAGGACAGTGGTAGGGGGTCCCAGCACCACTGGCGGGGGACACCGCCCGGCTGAGGAGATGCCCCACAGGAGAGGCCGCAGCAGTGGACGAGGAGCTTCAGGGAGGCTGCAGCTGTGGGAGGGGAAGACAGCAGAAGCCACAGCTGTGGACCACCAGCAGACCCGCAGCAGGCCGAGGGACCCCGGCTGGGCAGGCTGGGCTGCGGTGGCCGGGGCACCCCCGGCGCGGTGCCGGCTCTGAGGGGGCGGCGCCCCCCGCGTGTTCCGACGGTGCCGCGCTCGGGCGCTGCTCTGCCCCGCGGAGGCCGCGGCAGCGCCGCGTTGCCCCGGCGACCGGCGAGGCGCTGCTGGGGCTACCCCGGCCGCGGTCTGTGGCGCTCACCCCCGCGACGCCGGGAAGGGAGCCCGGGGCGCCGCGCCGCGGGACGGGGGCGGGGAGCGTCACTGCACCACGGCAACCCTCCCTCCTCCCGGAGCGGGGGGGAAGAGGCGGCACCCGGGCACAGCGGTGGGGCTGCTCTGCTCCGCGCCCTGCCCTGCCCTGCCGGTGCGGAGCGAGCCCCGCAGTCCCGGTGCTGCGCCGGGTCTCCGCCGTGCCCTTCTGGCGGCCGTGGGCAGCGCGCTCCCCGGCCCCCGCAGCAGGCAGGCGCGGCCCGCGACCAGGGGAAACTTGGCTCGAAACTCACGCCCGCCGAGGCACCCGCGGCTGCACCGGCGCTCCCGGGTCTGCGGGTGCCGGCCCCGCTCGCTGCCCTGCCCGCCTGGGCCGAGCGGAGAAAGTTTCCCGGCAGGAGGCTGGGCGGGGGCGGGCGGCGCGGCGGGCGCTGCCGCAGTGAGTGCGCCGAGCCCGGGTTGTGCCGGCGGCGGCAGCACCGGGAGCGAGCGGTCCCGCCGCCCGCAGGGCGATGTGAGGCTCGGGGACAGCGTCGGCTGCCGAAGGCTTTAGGTGTTACATGCGTCCGCTAACCTTCTCCAAAATGGATTTTAGTCAGAGCAATCTGTTCGGATACATAGAAGACCTGCAGGAACTAACTATTATAGAGAGGCCAGTACGCAGGAGCCTGAAGGTATATAACTCAAAATAGATCGATCCTTTAAAATCCGTTTTAAATTGTCTGTTTTATTTATGCACAGCTATGTGAGAAGACAGTACTTTTTTTTTTCTTTCTTTCTTTTTTTTTTTTTTTAATGACACCAGGATGCTAAGCATTGTTTCCAGTCATTTTTGGAATAAACAGGCTTGAATATTATAGAGTAGGGACTTAAGATTTCCAGTATAAGAATATTAAGCTGGGGAAAAAATAGACTAACTTAGGTCTTTAGATTAATTTATATGTGATTTGCTTTTACGTTAGTAGTGATAATGCCTGACATGGAACTGTGCAGCTCTTAACATTACATGTTTTCCTGGTGGAAGATTTATTTGATTGAATTTGAAATGTTGGCTAGAGATTTCATGAATAAATTCAAGTTGCTCATGAAACTGTCCCTGGATATGTAGGGAGGCATGTTTTAAGAAGCTCAAAATGATGAAATAATAAAGCATTGGAAACTCATAATCTCTATTTCACACTTGACAGACACCAGAAGAAATAGAAAGATTGACAGTTGATGAAGAACTCAGTGATATTGAAAGGGCTGTTTATCTACTCAGGTATTTCCTAAAATATTGCTCTGAAACATTGCTGACCATCGTGTTTGCATAAAACTTTTTTTTTCTTTCTGTCTTTCAGTAGTTGTTTTAACCTTCCACTGTGTTAAACATATAGGCATGATAAAAGTATGTACTGGAATTGAAAAAAGCCACCCTGGAATAGGGTGTCTGTGTACATGTATAAACATTGCTGACTTTTTAATATGGCCCTCACCAACACAGAGCTGTACTTAATCATCTTTTTCCCTGCAGTTAATTTTACAAGATGCTGTGAATGTTAACGTTAAAAACACCAATCGTTCAGGAAGTTCATATTCCCTTTAAGTGAATATTCACTCATGGGCAGTTAACACAGGCTGAAAGAAGAGCTGTTCTAGCATCCTGTATACGTTTGGACTTTCAGATCAGAAAATTTGAGATTAGTTTTATAGTCCATAGGAATTACTGTAGAAGATACTGTCTTAGTACTTCTTTCTGTTCTGGTTTTTCATTTTACCTCCTTCTTACTGAAAGTATTGATTTGCAGCTACTGGAATAACTTAAATTTTGGTAGTTTAAAATACAGATCTTTCAGTCATCTTTAAAAGTACAAATGTTCTGAGGGATTTTGAGTTGAATATGCATTTTTAAACAATACCTAGTAATTGAAGAACCAGCTGCAGCTCTCTCTCAGTTTGCTTAGTCTGCTGTATTAAGTGCTTTTCTTGTCTATGCCTGCGCTCAATGTTTAGAGTTTTGCAGTGCATGGCATTATTTTTAGGTAAATGTTTTTGTCCACTGATAGTACTTTTGATATTGAACTTTGTTTATTTTTTTAATGCTGAAACGTACTAAATAGAGGATTTTAAAACATGCTGTACTATTAGTTCCTGTAATCAAAGCAGTCTGTTGAAATGGGAAATAAGGAGAAAACAGTTTGTATGTGGTGCATATCATTGAAAGGATGCATATCACTTTTGGTTTTTACCTCACAACAATCAGTAGAGCTGACTTCTTTTTCTTTCCCTGTGTGGCAGCAAATTTCTTTGTGCTTTTCCCAATTAAAGACCGTGTTTCCAGCAATCTGTGTTAAGTAGATCATTGCCTTGTTAAATGGTAAATGTTCCACTTCATATCTTTCCTCTTACCAATTGCTTTTCAACCTGGCCTTGACCTTCTCCTGACATCTTTATCTGCTTTCTCTCTACTTGGGCTTCTGTTCTGGAGACATAACATTCTTCTTCTTTTGATGAAGCTTTCCTTTTTGCCTCTACATTGTTCTTATTGCTGAAAAGTAGCTTCAACTCTGCTAGATACGCTTTTTGTAAGGCAAACATGCTGTCCAGGTATGTTAATACAATAATCCAATGGAAGCTTTGCTGTTCAGTAGTAAATTGCCTTTCAGGTACTTAGTGGAGTAAAAACAAGCAGTTGTAAAGCTACCTGTAACACACAGAGTATCTTTTACATAATGTACAAAGGTATGTACTTTTGGCTTTTCAGGAATTTTCTAATTTGTTGGAATAGAATATCCCTGCCCATTGCTGTTTGACAATATCAGTCTGGTCTTTTTGTTCCTTATTTTCTCGTGCAGATGCATTGTTTGCTGGCCTTCAGGTTGTACCTTATGTGGGATGCTCCTTGATATTATCCAAAAAGCCACTGCCTTTTCTGAAAATCCACCTATTAAAATAGCCTTGATGAGATTGAAAGGAATTGTTAATGATGGCTGTTATACCCCATTTGAAAAGGATGATATCTCCATATACATTAAAAATATTCAAGAACAATGTTAGAAAGTAAACCTTTAAATATCTGCAAATAATATCTAAATACTACTTGTGTCACAATGTCATTTATATTGACACTTACTTGTGGAAACCTAATCTGTAAATTGAGTCAGAATCACAGAATATTCTGAGTTGGAAGGGACCCACAAGAACCATCCAGTCCAGCTCTAAAGTGAATGGCCCACACTGAGATCAAACCTACAACCTTGGTGTTATTAGCACCATGCTCTAACCGAGTTGAAGATGTTAAATTTACTGAGAATATCTTTAGTGTTGCTTGTACAGTGCATTAGAGCTAATACTGAGTGAAACCTTTGTATACTACAGCAAAACTAGTGTTTACTAATGTTCTTCTGTTGAAGTTCAGAAAGAATCCACACATTTTAATGGCTTTCTTTCTGAATGAAAAACCCCAAACACTTTCTTCTCTTTTCATATGCTTTCCCTTGAAAAGCTGCCCCCAGCTTCTCCTTCCCATACCTGAGCTTGATACTCTGGTTTACTTATATACAGAGTTGTTCTGTGTTTACTAGGTACTTGTTTTTTTTCTAGAGTTCTGCTCCTGAAGTCTTACTATTGTAGTCTGAAAATGGGTTGACATCTGAGTTGGAGAGAATAGTTTTCTTTTTTTCCTAGTGATTGATTCTTTCTTTGCTGTGTATAGAGCAGTCAGAGATTTCCCAGCTCTCACTGTTTCATCAGTTCATTCTTCTTTTTTGACTTCTTTTGTTCTTCACTTCTCATTTGCCAGTAATACCATGGAGTCTCTGGCATGGTCTTTTACTTCTTGATATTGCAAAGGTAATTGTTTTACCCATCTGGTATTTATTTGTAACCACTTAACGATTATTTTGTATTTCCACAGTGTCTTGTCTGTGTCTAGACATGATGTATGGTCACCAATTTTGTAAATTTCTGTTCATTGTCTTCTCTTAAATATGGCATAATTATATACCTCTGAATTTTTTAGCTCACGGTAAATATCTGGACACAATAATCCTGTTAAAGATCTCACTTTCACAGGACATGATTTAATTTTAATTGTTTTTTAATGTTACCTATCATGTTTGTTACCTGTCAGTTTGCTTTGACATTCTAAAGTGATAATAATAATAATTTTGATAATATAAGTTTCTCTCTCTCTTTAATTATTATTTTAGGGGATGACTCTGCTTTCAGTCTTCCCTTTTCTGCTAGTACTGTTTTCCGGGTAACTATGTAATGAGGTAGATTGGTAAGATGATCTAGCTAAGGCTGATTTTTTTTAGTGACATTAATTTTCAAGTAAATCAACTCCTTGATTTGCTGCATCATGTGGATATAGAAACAAGCAAAAGGAGAGGACATACAGTAGCTCTCCTGGTGGCTAAAGTCACTTTAAGGTGACATGAGCGTGAGTGAACTTCTGCTTTAGGTTACTGATGCCCTGAGTACTCAGTTTTAATTAGATAACATTCTGCAGTTAGGCTGAGCAAATCCTAATTTAATAAAAATGTGGTAACAAATTGGACTGTCGTCTGTTTTAATCTTAATTAACCTTGATTCTTTTTGAGAAACTGGGCTTCCTTAGTCTTAATTGTCAGGGATGTTTATGAACTTCCCATTGAAATCAGATGGATTTAGGTACCTAAAGAGGGAGAGGTGTCTGAGTGTCTATGTTTTAGAGCTTCAGCCCTTGTGTTTGGTGGTTTCTGGAGGGTCTAACAGGAATTGCCAAAGAGTTGTATTCTGCTGGTGTTTTGCACACTGATTGCCCAGAAGAACAAGGACAACAGAATAACTGTGCATCTCAGCCATGTCAGTGTCAAGATTGATGGCTTATCATAAAACTTTCAGCATATTAAGACAAGATGCCAGACCACACTGAAACAATTGAATAGTTTGCATTCTACCTCAGGGCATCATGACTTCTACCAGGACAGTAGCAATAAGCAACTCAGGGACAGTAATTTTTATTTCTACTGTGAACTTTTGGCTGTTTAATTTCCATATTTTCTGATGTTTAATTAATTTTATTAGTTACATTAATTTGTCTGATTGTAGCTCATCCTTTTAGGGTATATGGCCAAAGTTTTGTATTCTTTGCCTGATGCGAATCTGGTTTTGGATACAAGGGTACTTACTGGTGTGTGCACTGCAGTGTGGTTTGTTTTCTGAGGACTTTCCTGATAGATTTCCCTAGGGCTTTTACATTGTTGTGTTGTATTATTTTGTATTCAGCTACTTTTTTTTATTATTATTTTTATTTGTGCCTGCTTAGTGTTAAAGCTTCTAGACCTTGACTTTTCTGTCATACTCAAAATAACAGGGTAATAATGAGTTATCAAGGTGGAAGACTGAATTATTCAACCTTTTGGGAACATAGTGTACTTTGGATTTGGAGAGATCCTATCTATTGATGTAGAAAACACAGTCCCTCTCCAAAACAGTTTTTGAAGACACAATAGATACTCTATCTATACTGAAAAGTGTTCAATGCCTCTAAACTTAGCACAACTTAAAAAAACCCAACAACAATAAAAAAGTTGTACTTTATTATAACCATTCTTGATTAGCTAGAGTCTTCTCAAATTCTAAAGATCATTTAATACCCTATGTAGTTAATTGTGAATGTCAAAACCACTACTGTTTAAAAATTTAGGGTTTTTATTTTTTGTCTAGTTTTTAGTCATCATGTTAGTTTTGGAAAATTTCTCTGAAGGCGAAGGCAACTCACCTGTGATTTTAAATGAAAGCTTTCATTTAAATGTGACTTTAGGAGCTGATGTGTACGGAGTTTTTTTGTATTACATAATCATGGAAACTGGCTACTCTATTCTGATTATACAGCTGCTGGTCCTGATGCATACATGATATCCTGGAAGATCCAGCTCTAATGCTAAGAGTATTGGAAAATAATTCGTCCATCCATACTGCTGAGCTGTAAATATTAACGCAAAAAGTACTTCTTCAGTACTTCAGAATTTCTTCAGTCTTCTTTTCTCCATCTTTTATTTTGTAAATTGCACCCTAAATTTTATAAAAGTTAAATTCTGATTCACTTAGTTGGACAGATAAACTATTTACTTGACACTGTGTTACACAAATAAGTTAATATATATGAAATTGATTCTTTCACCTTAAAGTGAAAGACGTACCCCTAGACTCCTAAAGTGTTGCCAAGTCACATACTTCTATTTAAATTTAGATTTGTGCAAATACTTCTGTTAATCATATTTGCTGAGTTGAAAC